CGATTCGGTTTGATCTAACATCCACTTTAAGTGACATGCCATTAAGTGATAAGAATTATTATAAGGGGTCTTGTACGGCAAAGCCTGGCACCAATGACCACATGCCAATACTTTATGATAAATAACTAAATATATAATTATTTGGAATGCTCTATATTGCGGCGCTCACACAAGACAAGCAAAGTTTTGGGGTTTGTTGAGTGTGTGAAGCAGGTGTGAGGCGTCAGACGATTAAAAAAAATTGACATAACTTGCAGCTGCCCCTCTTGACGTGCAAATATTAAATGGTGTCGTGAGCAGTTCAAAGTTTTTATTTTGTTTCTTTGATGGTTCCCCTCCCCCTGAATGAGCTGGAAGTTCGCGGTCATTGAGAGGAAAAAAACCTTCATGCAAACTGCACGTATCGCAGACTAGAGCAATTAGAGGTACAAAGTGAAGCATTTTGCTTCTATGATGTTTGCTCCCCATCTTCTCTTGAATGAGATAGATCGTCTTGGCATTTTTATTAACTATCTTCTCTTATATAACACTTTCTTCACTTGTATAACAACCTCTTATATAACACTAGCACTTCTCGCCATCTTTAAATACAATGTCTGTGTAAAAACATATGACACTTCACTTGCGTCTTCTGTCATTGTCAGTCATTATTATGCAAGTCTGCCAAACCTTTTCTTATAGTGTATACACAGTCGGGAGGTTTATTCCCGTTCTCTTTATACATATACACGTACCAACTTTACTTTAATTTTGAACTGTATATATATATATACATACTTGGCTGTTGATAGCTGGTGTTGACTTCTTGATGTGTAGTGCCTCGCAAACGTCAAGCCGCCTGCTATCGTAGGCGGCATATATACATACATACATCGACTTTTGTCCTAAACGTAGTTCAGAATTAAAATAAACATTACTGGTTGATGAGTAAGATATTGGCAGTGACCTAAATAGCCTTCCCACAGTTGATAATCTCAAGCTGAACGGTAAGCCAAATTAACCCTTATGTTGAGGGTTATAATCGTCGTCCAAGCTGAGGCTGTCCACAAAAGCGCATATACGTCAGTGTTTCTCGGAGTGTAATTACTATAGTAGTAATTATTTATATAATTATTTGTGTATAATTAGGCTAGGATAGGTCATTAGGTGGTTTTGCTCTCTTGACAATTATTTGTATTTACGGCAACCTGTCCTCAGGGTATGTTCGTATGCTCGTCCAAGGAGCGGCCAACCCCAAGAACACATTCACCAATTTTAACGTATTATGTATTCAAAAGCGTTTTTCAATATGAGTTAATATTATTATATATCATAATTTTATGTATTGTTTGGCGTAGGTTCGGTTAGATGTTTGTGTTTTGTAGGCAGTAACTTGGATTTTCAGTGCGCCGGTGAAACATTTGAACTTCGAACCTAGGAAAAGAGCTGCTCTTTGTTCGAGAAAAGTTCGAACTTGAGTCACGTGTAAAGTGTGTATCTTCCATACACAAGAGAGCTGCTGCTTGAGTAACGAGCATCTGGTCAATGTTTACGAGGATAGTAAACTATGCACTCTGCACCAGGCCCTGATTCTTGGAATTCTATATTCATCAAGAACTGTAAACAAAAATACTATCGCAGGCCTTTCACATTCTTTGAAGACAAAGCCTAGATACTGCCTTTATCCCTGACATACTAAAAACAGCATTACGGTGACCGGAAGTCGGTGAGAATAGTACACATTTGGCAACTCGTAATTTGTTAATGGTATAAACAAATCCTCAAGAGCCGTGACGAGGATTCGAACCTGTGTTCGGGAGCATCCCAGACACTACCTTTATCGACTGAGCTACGACAGGGTAAAAGAGTCGAAACCGAAGTTCTATTGAACTTCGGTTTCAACTCTTTTGTTCTACGCTACGACAGGGTAAAGTTCTACTGAACTTTACCGAACTTCAGTAAAGTTCTACTGAACTTTACCGAACTTCAGTAAAGTTCTACTGAACTTTACCCTGTCGTAGCTCAGTCGATTAAGGCAGTGTCTGGGATCCTCCCGGATGCAGGTTCGAATCCTCGCCACGGCCCTCGTGGATTTGTTCGTTTGATGTATCACGTTAGTGTGATCTCTGTGTGTAATGATGTAAGGGCGAAGAGGGAGAACGGCCACTTGACATAGCTCGGGTGCAGGGGGGAGTTGTGTAAAATCCTGGTTTGTTCCTCGGAGAGGCTACGAGATCCAATAAGTTCAGTAGAACTTCGGTTTCAACTCTTTTACCCTGTCGTAGCTTAGTCGATTGGGGCAGTGTCTGGGATTCTCCCGGACGCAGGTTCGAATCCTCGTCACGACCCTTGTGGATTTGTTCATATGATGCATCACGTTAGTGTGATCTCTGTGTGTATTGTTAATGGTCTCTTTCCCACGGTTGTGGATATCTTATCTTGAGGTTATCTTGAGATGATTTCGGGGCTTAGCGTCCCGGTCCTTGACCAGGCTTCTTTTTTTTGTTCCCCCCCCCCAAGAAGCAGCCGTCTAACTCCCAGGTACCTATTTACTGCTAGGTGTGAACAGGGCATCAAGTGAAAGAAACTTTTTGCTCATTTCCCTCCGCCTCCACCGGGAATCGAACCCGGAACCTGAGGACTACGGATCCGAAGCGCTGTCCACCCAGCTGTCAGGCACCCAGGATAACATTACAAATGATAGTATTAATCCGAATACGGGATGGGGGGAGATGAGATTGGTACGATTAACTTCCTTACAGTACCGGCACCTGCTATAGGTAACCGTAGACAACACAAATATTACTTGGCACCCAGTATAACTCGATTGTCATATATCTGCCTAAGATATGAAACAATCAATGTTAAATTCAACTATGATATATTTTACAGTGAGTTGAGGAAGAGTGATTGATGGCGAAGAGTAGAGAGGAATTGGGTCCCTTACACACTCCCTGTTCTACTTGGCTCGGTGCCTCGATTAGTGTTCACTCTCACTCCTCGGTCTTAACTCGCTTCTTTCTTATTTCGGTGTGGTGTGGGTGGGTTTGGGTGTGTGTGTGTGTGTGTGTGTAATTCTGTGTAGTTACAGGATGAAAGCTACGTTCCTTGTGTACTCCTACGTCTACGCAGAACACTTTCTCATGTGACGCTTTGAAACTTCTGACGGTTTTGGCATCCACCGTCTTCCACTCTGCAAATTATAACAAATATTTTTCAGCATCTTTGCTTCTTTAGCTTGAATCTATGCCCTAAAACGATTCCTTTCATTGACATGACTGTCTTCAATTCAGGAAGCCATTTAGTGGCATGTCTTTGCAACTTTTCCAGTTTGTTGTTGTTCTTAAGATTTAAGATGACATTTTTTTCCCATTCCACATTCCATAATGTGGCATTTATTCACTGTAAATTCCATCTGCCATGTGTTGCTCCATATATTTTTGTCTAGGTTATCTTGAAGGGCATAGTAATCGCCTAAGTTTCTTATCTCCCCTAGTAGCTTAGCATCATTAGCAAACATATTCATATAATTCTGTATTCCTCCTGGTAGATCGTTCATATAGACGAATATTATTGATGCTAGAATTGAACCTTGTGATACTCCACTAGCAACATTTCACCAGTCTGATTACCGCCTTTATTTTTCTGTTAAAAAAATTACCAACCATGTCAGAAGTCTTCCAATTACCCTTCCAGTATGTTCCAGTTTCCAGAACAGCCTCTTATGAGACTGTCAGAAGCCTTTATTTTTTAAAGTAAAGATAAACCAAACCATTTCTCTTGTAAAATATCTTTGGCTCTGTCATGGAAACTAAGTAGATTTGTAAGCTTTGGCTCTTTGGTCCTACCTCTCAACCGTCAATCAGTGTACAGGTCATGAGCTTATCGAGTTCTATCATATCTACATTTCAAACTGTGTATGAAGTCAGCCTCCACTACATCACGTTCTAATGCATTCCATGTGTTAACTACCAACACTGAAAAAGTCACTCAGTACTAACCTATTCACTCGAGCGGAAGACCAGGCTTTCTCCATTCTCACACACCCATACATGATCATATTCATTAAATATTTAAATAAAAGATAGGGTATGGCATACCTGCTTGATGGGGTTCTAGGAGTTCTACTTCCAAAGTCTGGCTTGACATACTTTACTAATGTCGGAGCCGGTCGGCCGAGCGGACAGCATGCTGGACTTGTGATCCTGTGGTCCTGGGTTCGATCCCAGGCGCCGGCGAGAAACAAGGGGCAGAGTTTCTTTCACCCTATGCCCCTGTTACCTAGCAGTAAAATAGGTACCTGGGTGTTAGTCAGCTGTCACGGGCTGCTTCCCGGGGGTGGAGGCCTGGGCTGCGGGGACACTAAAAGCCCCGAAATCATCTCAAGATAACCTCATAGGTATAATTCATTCTTCAAAAATATTGCATTATCTGTAGTGGTGGTTCTTAATATAGTATTATTTGTTGATTGCAGGTTTGGTAAATTGAACCACTCCATGGAAAATTTTCCATGGAGCAGCAGTCAATTTAATTTAAGTTTGTGTTTTGCCAATTAAATTTTTTTTTTTTTTGCAAACTAAAAGTTTAAGAAATGGTTGAAGAACAAATTTTCGTAGTTGCACATGCTGTATTTTGCCCATGGTGTTTGCTCAGCTAATCAATTTTCACAGATCCCAAGTGTTGTTTTAGCCTCTACTGCAAACTATGTTTGCATTTTCCTGCATATGCCATAACAAAAGTGCACTACAGTATCTCAATTTTGTTAATTTGAATAACCAATTGCATACTGTAAACCTACTGATACAGGATGCAGAGTTTAACTTTTTTTTTTTGACTATTAGAGCTCTGCATTTAATACCAGTATATTCATAAGCTTCGTTAATAATTAACAATGGTAGACTGCTGTCTATACACTGATGTACTGTTTTATTGCAGTGAATTACAGCTATAGTATGGGCAGGCATGGAAAGCATTTGAGACTTGATTCATTCACAAAGTATGCATTAGGATAATAGAACATATTTTAATACAAAATATTTACATTATTATACATAAAACCTAAATTGTACAAAACCAGCCAATAAACAGATATGGAACATAAGAAATCCTATAACATACTAGTATTATTCAGACATAACCTAATTACAACATATGAAGGTAAAGTAGGGTAATTATCACGAGAAAGCACTAAGTTATTATAATTATATAGCCCTTGGAAGGGATAGGGAGTTAGGATAAGATAAAGGAAAGGAATTGTACCCGATCACTTGGATGGTCGGGAAATGAACGCTAAGATGTGAGACTATCGCACTTCCGTCCAATCCAAGTAAATGCAAAACACTTTTAGAAAACAAAAAATAGAAAACTATTTTACAAATACAGTAAGGCTAAACTTTGAAGGGATAGCAAGTGCTCGCAATGATAGGCACAATCTCAAATTGTTTAAACTTGCAGTGTGGAACATGCTACTTCATCATAATCTATCCTTTTTGTGTGGAAAGTTATGGAATGAAAGTAAAGACACATGATACAAGAGATCAAGAAGGTAATTCTTCCTCTACTGTTAGTCCACTGAGGTAGCACCCACAGCAAATTGCACCAGTACAATTTAAAAAAAAAAAAAAATCAAATCTTCATATATCATTGAAATTATATTTTATTTTAAACTATTTAATGAATGCATTTTCTCAATACTTTAAATTTTTTGCACAATTTGTACATGATATAAACATTGCAACAGTAAAACATTTTATTTTCAATGTGCACAGAAAATGGTACCATAAAGAGACAAAGGCAAAACTTTTCCCTCTATACTGTGGTTCTGGAAAGACAAACAATTTCCCATTCTCTTGGTGCATCGTCGCTTGGTTTGCAAAATTTTATCTATTACCACAATGAAGTTAATGCATTTTCTACCTACTTGTGTAATTGTGACTTTTTCATGTTTAGCTTTTATTTCCTTCCCATTTGAATATGCTGATTGGAACACGCTTTATTCTTTAGACGAATTATTGTACTTCAAGGCAAGCAAGCCGAGGCTACTTTCCCAGTCTGACAGCCAAACCCATATTTACACAAGGAAAAATGTCTTTAGCACTGATCAAGTTTAGTTACACCTGAACAAATTCCAATACATGAGAAAGTTCCATATAAAGCAGTAGAATGTACCAGCTTGCACTACTAACACTATCCCAGCCTAAACTATTCAAATTACAGCTTTGGTCAACCAGTAATTTTCTTTCACTTTCATTTATGAGCTCTGGTCACTTAGGAGAAGAGGCTTTACACAAATTTTAACTAAATAATTTGCCAAAAGAAACCTCAATTGCTACAGAAATTATTATTTTATTAAAAAAATTGTCACTTTTTAAACAAAGCTCATCAACCAGATGTTTCATAAACTTGTAACTATTCATATGGCCAGAAAAATTATTGAAACTATTTGAATAAATTTATATTTTGTAGAAATAATTTTAACATTACAGTCTCCCTTAATAGTATACACATCAGTCGCTATCACTGCTACTACTGCTGCTGCTCTTTACGTCCCGGCGATTGCGATTTACCTGAAATGTACATACAGTATAATAATAATTTGCAAATATTTATTAGCATTTACTAATATACTTACTTTATTACATGACTAAGAGCTCAGTAATTCAGTGCTTGATAAACTGGACCTGGATTCATAAAACAGTTATGCAAGCACTTATGAACCTGTACATCTTTTCTCAATCTTTGGCGGCTTTCTTTACAATTATTAAATAGTTAATGAGCTTCGAAGCACCAGGAGGCTGTTTATAACAACAGTTGATTGGGAAGTTTTCACGATTGTAAACTGTTTAATAAATGTAACCAAAGCCCTCAAAGATCGAGGAAAGATGTACACGTTCGTAGGTACTTGCCTAACTGCTTTATGAATCCGGGGTCCCGAATCTCAAACCTGAATTCATTCGGATTATTTAGGGATTGGGTTAGAAGATTAGTATATGGAATGAGAAGCTAATAAATTCAAGTTCAAGGGCTTGATTGTTCAACAGAAATTTAGGTTATTGTTAACGCACTAGTTATAAGTGATTAATCTCTCTACTCCAAGAGTTATAATAAAGCAAGGTAAATTCACAAGCAAGCATGGATGCAACATATCAGTGGCAGGCAGAATCCTCTGATCTTTTTCCTTGACAACGCTTGTCATAAATGGCCGTGGGTATGTCTATCCCCTTATCACAAATGCCCATGACTTTGTTGAATGCAGGCATTCTCAGTTAGCAAGAAGTGAGGACCATATTGTATTTATTCCATCCTGAAAGTGGCCAAGGGAGGTGGTGACTGGAAGGTGTCGGGGAATAGGAGGGAAGGGACGAGTAGGAAGGGACTGAGTCAGAGGATGAGAGGGACCATGGAAAGACCAGGTATGAAGATGGGAGGGAACATGAAGGGACCGGGTATGGCTGAAAGGTAATCCAGACAGCCAGTCTGGAAGCCATAATTCTGATATCTTGTGTATTAGGCTGGTGTGCCAGACTTTGGCAAAAGCGTTTCATACATCTCTGAACGCAATATTAATCTGCAAGCAACTTTCAACCACCCACCCATTCTGTGTCACCTGCCTGTAAAATGGGGGTTTTAGCCACCTCTAATTGCCAGCCTACTCTCCTGTAACCACCCAAGAAACAATGTACAAGCTGCACTGTATGTCATGAAGCTTGTTCATCCAGTTTGCTATACTATGGGACTTTTTACTTATGGCGGCCTACATATAGTGCCCAGGGTTGACTGGTCCCAATCCTGTCTACTTGTTTGGTCAGTTCTATTCTCATGGGATTCTATTGCATGCCACTTATCGAAAGAGTTTCCATTTTTTTTTTAATAGAAACTTAAGATAGTTTTCTCCAAGGCCACATTTGGCAAAAGCAAGTCATGTGGAGAGGTTAAGAGGATGCATATTATGCTATCCATTAAAAATAATCGATGAGTGATTGAACTTTTATGAAAATGACTGTTTATTATTTATACTATCTTGGTAAGAAATTCAGCTACATCAAACATGCAGGTAACTGGAATGGGCTGTTGGCCCCATATGATTTGGTTTATCGGGAATAGACAGTAATTCAATTTTCCTAAAATTATTGCCAATTACAGGTAAAAATGTTCAATTATACAATTACCTTCTGAGGAATTGTGTAGGGAAATAATTTGCCAGAATTAGTTAATGCATCTCTTAGCTTGATTAATGCAGTTTGGTTGATGTTTTCCAAATGTATGGAGTCGGTGGAAGTTTGCAACACCTTCAGCCCTTCCTCGCTCTTTCCCTCATCAACTGTAGGAGAAATTCCTGTGAGATTACTTTTGCTAACTAATTTATTTTGATAACTTCATGGATGATCAGGGATGGTATCTTTCGGAAAATATCAAGACTATACAATGGGATAATACCTGCATCCCTAGACTCTTTTTCACACACACACACACACACACAGTGAACCACAGGGACATTAGAAAGCACTTTTTCAGTGTCAGAGTAGTTAACAGATGGAATGCATTATGCAGCGATGTGGTGGAGACTGACTCCATACACAGTTTTAGGTGAAGATATGATAAGAGCCCAGTAGGCTCAGGAATCTGTACATCAGTTGATTGACAGTTGGTGGGCAGGACAAGAGAGCCAGAGCTCAACCCCCACAAGCACAACTAGGTGAGTACATACTACTGACTGAACCATTATGTGCAGTCAGTAGGTGCGTATACCAGGGATGCAGGTTTGATTCCATCACACAGCCTAATAGCAATTCAAAAGCATGTCAAATTCATGTCACTGTTTTAACAAGAGGAGGAAGTCTCTCACTCTAAATACTGAACGATTCAATACAACCAGAAGAAAAGTAATGCTACCACTTTGAGAGAAATATATAAGGTTAACATGTATATGCCTCTATTATTACAATCTTTGTCTTACATGTAGGGGGTCAGTTACAGACTATCAACAGTGGGACTGTAATGAAACATTAAAATACAAACGTTATCTTTCTAGAAAAAATCCCGAACTTAAGTTCTCAAATCCAACCAATTTCATGTCGTACAATATGAGAGAACACATGATATATATATATTCTTTTGGGCCCACGCAATGAACATGAGCCGACTCTACTAACCAAGAATATCAATCCATGCGCTGTACACCAAACCCTTGGAAGTAGAGTGCACATTGGGCTGTCCATTCAAAAATTCTAGAAGCTTGGCTGGAAGGTCTGCATTCTTAGTTCTGCGTGCACAATTCAGAATGCTTCGGAACATCAGTCGTGAGCTGCTTTCAGACAGGTGCTTGCCATAAAACTGTCACAAAAATATAAATTACATATTGAAAGTAATGCCGAGCTTGTGTTAACAAATTTCCTCTCAATTATTTATGTAAATACCCTTTTAAAGACTTGCAGCTCATCAGATCTAGCACTGACCCTTTGAGTTGTATTACGACTGGTTAACAAATAATCAAAACATTACCATTTTATTTCCAAAATTCTCATGTTCATGCAAATTAAACTATTAAAAAATGTATATATACATATATATATATACTTTTCACATCACTTTTTCCATTTAAATATGAACACTAGTCAAGCAATTATTAAAATTCTATCATCATGTTGAAGTTATTTGAATTAGGAGCAAGTAACCGCCTGTAAAGCTCAACTTAATAAAGATATATTAATCTTTCATAACAAAGAAATGCTGCAAGTTATTTAATGCATGGAAAAGAACCTACATATATAAGAACTAAAATAGCTTGGGCCAAGCAAAGTGTGGACATAATATTTTTCTGCCAATACTGTGCTCTTAGTACAATACTAGAATCCAATAGCCTAATACAACACGACTATAAACATTTATGTTCTATTATTTACATTCTAATATATATAGCATGCATTATTTAATAGGATTAATGTGTATTTTTAAATCTCTTGACATTCAAAATCTATGTTGGATCTGCTCTTTGATTTGTGGTTGTGTGGGCTTCACAAATATGAATAATTTTCCCCAAGTTTATTTTCTAAAGGAACATGATGCATATGTTTCATTTGCATACACACACACCAAGCAGCGGCTGTGTGTAGTGGATGTCTGCCTGATGATGATAACATTGTGACCAGCATTGGCTTTGCTAATATTTGAAGCTTGTGCATAATTTTTATCATGACACTATCAATGTTAAATAATAAGTTATTTATTTATTTCATCATTATTAGGTGATGCTGTGGGTATGAGCAGATAATGAGTCACAATAACGTGGCAGCTTGAAGACATGAGAATTAAACCACATGCCAGAAAATGAGATGACGACGACATTTTGGTCCACCCTGGACCATTATCAAGTCAACTGTGTGGGCACAAGCTGCATGGCAGTGCTGAGAGCCACTGATGCATGCACCACTCATGGTTGCTTTCTCAGTACTGAGGCCACTCATGCCAAAGAGATGTGTCATTGCTTTTTTTTTTTGTTTTCCATGATCACTTCTAGTTACTAAGTGCCAGAGGTAGCAGTTATGAGCCCCGTGTAATCACAGTTTTAAATGTTATGCGATATTTGGAGGTATCTTTTACCATCTCTTGCTGTGAGATCATATATGGTGAAAAAATCCCTGATTTCATGCACATTTGAAAGGTTAGGATCAACCAAGAATGTTTCATAATTATTCAAAGCGTTACTCTGCTATTTAAATATTATAATTTCAAATTAAACATATATATGTATATAATTAATATTTTACATACCTCTTGTGCTTCATCATAACTACCTTGACTGAATAGATGCATCCACACACAGTTTGCTGGACCAGTTATCCCTCGAGATGCATATTCATCCGCTAAAGACATTACTGAAAACATCATTAGTGTTAAATCATTCTTTGCTCCTTTAATGCTTAATACATATTGTAAATAAATAAATATATTTATATATATACAGTATATAAATATATTAAGAGGTACGACTGAAAATGTTTAGTATAAAAGCATTAATGACAACTTGCTTGTTTTCAGAGTAATCATGCAAAAAATGGACGAACTACTTCCACAATAAAACTTCTAACAATTAAATTTGTAACATATAGGCCATCAGTATCAGAGACAATATTAAAGGAACTCTTGTTGGACCTACAGAGTTTGTTGTTATCATGGATATTCACTTAATTAAGTATACTAATTAAAAATTATGAGTTAAATAACTCCATAAGAGCAAGAGATTTTTTTGGAGCATTTACATATGGATTATCAAGATGTGGGAAGCAACTTAAGGAATTTGCTCATAACCTGATACATATTGTAGTTTCGTTACCTTTGGGAAGAAGTTGAGGAGACTCTTCCAAAATGCCTATCACTCCACCTCTGGGAAATTCCTCATCAAGGCGTGGAAGGTCAATATCAGTAGCTTCTTGAAGCTTTGTTTGCAAGTTCTCCAAGACCTCCTCTGAGCGCCCTGAATTTCTGTATGCTGCACACAGGGAGTTGCTGATTTTAATTCGCCTTTTCAAATCCTGTGAAAAAGAAAAAGATTTTAAAGTAATTTTATCAGCATTATCCTAGTATACATCCATTAACTCATTATTCACAAAAAATAAGCAATATGAAATATAAAACTAATGAAATAAAAAGCTGAAAAATCAGCTAAACTTTGTTTCCTATTGTAATTATTCACATGCATCATGTGGGAAAACTTTCCTTTGCATTTACTTCTTCAGTACTTTATCACTATTTTACTTGACACAGCAGGAAGGTACACAAGACTTAATTATCAAAACATAGCGCCAAGCCAGGAAGAATATTTAGTAACGTTTGCATCGCAGGATATCGAAAATAATGCCAATACAAATGCAAAAGAACCTAGACAAACTATGTCTATAAACATCGGGAGTCACTAATGATTCTATCGTGGAACAAGTTACACAAGACAATGTACTTTAACTTTCAAAACATTTTACACTCTACTGTACTGACTTATCAAGGAGCTCAACATATTTTAAGGACTGTTTAAATATGATAATCTGCATTTTGGCTATCAAAATTTTATTTATTTGGCCTATTTGCAAATTACATAATGTGCATACTAGGCTTTTTCAACATGTTCACAAGACTTTATAGTGTGAACATGAAGCTTATGCTGCACTCTGCCGAAGTGTCAGTTACAGCCCAAGAAATTCCGGTAGCAGGCACACGTATCTTAATATGCTTGACTTTTCAAGCAGCAAATGTTATGCATGTTGAAGTGTTTCACTTGCAGTTAACAATTACTTAAAATTAAAACATCAGTAATGTATGGGTTACATTTTAAATGAACAATATCTTTCTTTTATGGAGACCAGCCTACTGGACTTGGTTGTCTTTACGCATCACTTCCATGTGTGCCAAGGATTCTTTCCTTCATGTCAGGGCAAGGCAATTGTCTGGACACAAAGTTTCTTCTTATTTTTAATTCTTAACTGGACTAATTCATAGTTCAAATGATGTATTTAGACAATAAATTAAATAAATTTGTTTACAAAAAAGAAATTGTATAACTAAGTCAACATACTCTCCATCTCAATATCTATTCTAATGCCACCTACTAAAAAATTACTTTTCTTGTATTCTTTTCAAATTTTTACATTCAATACAATTGTTAATAGACATTTTCAACCCTCCCGTCTTCAGTGTATCAAGAGCATCAAGGCTTCTTTACCTAAAATAAATATGTAACAAAACATGTGTATAAATATAAGAAATCACATGGCAAATAGTACAAATTAATAATACAATAAAATACAACTAAAACTTACATCACTGAGGTATTTTGTACAAAATGTAATGGTCTCTACATCACCAGCCTTGGCCAACTGAATCATCAAGAACTTTAAAACTCTTGCAATGGGATGAGTGCCACTTATCAGCATGTCACGGGTCATCCTGGAAGCTTCTCCCAATTGACCATCTTGCAAAAGCCTCTCAATCAATTTTGAGCGATCACTTATAGTTGACTGCTTACCAGACAGCTCTATCCTGCAAATATTTATAAAAAAGATTTGTTGACACTCTGCCCTTATCCACCATTGCACTCTATGGGAACTCTTGTTCCTTGAGAGTGGCTTCATGTAGAATCTTTTTCTGACATTTCAAATGCCTCGAAATCTTTTCAAATTTTCAAACGTTTGAAAATTGGAACATCTGCAAAGCATTATAAGTAATGACTGGAATTTCAAAAATGTCATAAATAAATTACACTAAAATAGAAAAAAGATAATTGCTTCAGCAAGTGCAGAAAAGTGGAATAGTTAAAAGAAAAGAGCCAGAAAAGGTAAAAATACATTACTAAAACGTTCTGCACATTTCTGTGGATGAAAATTATGACTCCTTTTTTTTCTAGCAAGCAAACTAGCCTGTGGAATTTGTTGTGAAATGTCTCAGGTGATCCATGAAGGTTTTTGAAAGGGTTGAAGCAATTTCTTAAAGTGATCATGCCATCAATGATAAGAAATTCCCAGATGGGTTAACAGTATTGTTTAAAAATTCAATTAAATATAAAAAATTGAAAATATACTGTACTCTATTAGTAATAGGTGTGAATGGGAAAAAAGCAGTTCTTATATGAATAATTATTAAATTTAAAAATTATATTTAAATAACACTACTTTGAGATTGGGGAGGAGAGAGCAACATAAACTATCTTTAACCCTTTAACAGCCCAAACTGTATACAGTATATGCAATTTTGGTCTAACTGTCTGCACAGTGCACATTGTATATATACATTTTAAAGTACCACGTAAGATCAAAAAGTCCCGCAGCTGCACAGGGTTCACATCAGCTTCCTCAGAGCTCTAGTAAACAGATGCCGTTAAAAAAAATTGTGGGTAACATTCCCGAGTGTGAAAGCCTCAGTACTGAGTGAGCAACCAAGGCTGGCACAATAGGTACAATAAAGTGCTGGAAGTGGTAGATTTGATTAACTACCTAGTACAAGTGATTCTATAGTACTGCAGGTACTTGTGCAATTGAAGTGGAGAATAAGGACAGTCAGAGAAGGAAAACTACTGGAGCTTTGATAAGGAAAACAATAATAGGAATAGAGCCAGAGGTCTGTATGCATCACGGAGACAACAGTGGCACAAAAACTAAAAATATATGTTAGAGCAGCAAATATGGACAATCTGAGAGGCAATTGTGGTGCTAGGAGAATAAATAGAATGAGAAATGAAAATATCATGATTTGGAGTGTAAACGTTTACAAACAATAAGATTGAGAGGAACATACTGCAATGTTATGGGTATGATGAATGAATGAATGAAAGTAGACTGGTGAAGTGAGTGCAATTCACTTCACTTCACATTCGAGTAAATTCAAGTGTAGGAAAAGGGGAATTACCAATGATGCTAATAATGGCACTACTGTACATCATTACAAATCAGATCAAAACCAAAAATTCCAATGCTTATCGTTGGTGGAAATAACTCACTGATTTTTAGCATTAACTGCAGGGATGAAGTTCCTGGTGTTTAGGCTGTTGTCTACTGTAGGAGTTTCTTCAGAAGCCTCTGATTTTAATTCTGGAATAATGAAGGGAACCTCACGGCCATTATTTTTGAGAAATTCTCCCAGTTTTATTAAGAATGTCTCGGTGGGTTGAATATTTTCCTCCTGCATAGATGTCCAGAGTCCCAAAGCCTTTTCACAATCATTTTGTTGTCCTAGAATAAAAAAAAAAAAAGACAAAAATACTTAGATTACATTGATTTATCTGTAAAAACTTGATATACTTGCTTTTCAGATAACACATGGCATACACATATAAATGACATCTAGTTCTTCAAGTTTGTCAAAAATGTCACCTTTTTTACATTTAGTACCTAGTTTATCTCTTTGATATTAGTTCTGTGTGATTTATTTGCTTTTGTAGGTATGGAATGATGTGACATCGACATCTTCATTCAATGTGTTGATTAACCCATATTGAGGATGAGTCTTTCCTCACATTGTTTACAAATCACTTTATTTCAAAATCTCCACCTGTGTTCCCCTGTACTGTTTCCTTTCAATTTAAAGATTAGATTAAGTTTTTTGACCCTGTCTACAAAGCTTCTCTTTCAAAGTCCCCATAACAAGTACTACCCTAGTTGTAAACCTCTATACGTTTTCAAGTTATATTTTATACTTCACGCAGAGCAGATTCCATACTGTTGATGCATATTCTAATGCTGGCTTAAGACAGGTTGTGTAAATTGACTTAAACAAGTCTTTAATTAAGAACTTAAGAATAAAGAAAACTGTAGAAAGCCCTTTGACCCCTAGACAGCTTCTAATTATATCCAACCAATATGCATATCTAACCAACCAATGCTTGAGACAATCCAGCAATCTCACAGTTATTGTATTACTCTGAATTTGTTCCAAATCCTAATCTCAAAACCAGTATTTACCGAGGTCTTTTCTTAATCTAAACTTAAACAATTTGTATACACTGTTTAGTGTTATATTTTGTCTGTATATTTAGCATTCTGTTATGTCCATTTATATACTTCAATCATGTCCCCCCCACCTCCATGCTTTTTTTTGCATTACTAGAGCAAATAAATAAAGTCCTCTTAATCTCTTCATAATATAGACAAGTTTCAAATACTTGGGAATAACTTTGTCATCTATGTCTACCTACTTTTCAATGAATTTGTACCTCTTCTATAGTACAATGAACAAAACTGAGCTGCATAACTCAAGATACAGCTAAAGATTAACAGTAGATATCACATTACTAATGCTTCAATGTATGAATGTCAGTATCCTATTTGGCTTATGTCAAATATTTTTACAGTCAAACAATTTCTACAACCCTTTTTTTTTTGCTTAAATCTCTACTAATCATAATTCTCAGATGTTTTATTTATTAAGATTAAGCAATAAACTGCATTCGACATATTTTCAGACATTTCAAACGCCTATCTAAATAATATTGTGGATACCATTAACATTTTAATAAATACAATTATATATAAGAATAGAAGACAAAATGACTTGTTTTACAATCTTAATATTGCATGAAAGCACTTCAAACTGTTCAGGAATGTTAAAATGACTAATATAATTCAATAGTATTTATCAAACATGGACCAAATATTTTTTACCTAATCATTCAATCTATAAATTATTTTCACATTAAAATTTGTACTCACTATAAGCTGTCAATAGATGCATGTACATCATATGTCTGTCCAAATCAAAGACATCCCGAGTGCTATTCACCAAATGCTCTAGCTCTTCTATTCTGTTATTCTCCAGGTATCTCTTGCACTGATTGTCCAACTTTACGTTAAAGGCTCGTAAACCAGGAGTCTGAAATACAAGGTTTGCACATCACATTCATGGAAAAATATTTGTAACAGTACAGTCATATATTTGATGCTTCAAAATAACAGTGCAACGACTAAGAAATCATCCTTATTACACCATTTCCCACTTTCATAGGGTAGGGGAAAATTTGCCACAAAAAAAATGTGAACCATACAGGAAAAGATAGTTCATCAAAATGCCATGCAACTATGAATAATACCTTCCAGGCTGACTAGCATCACAGAGAACTGCAGTACAACACTCCGGCAAATCATCCACAGCAGCACTCTAAGATAATGATTTTTTAGCCAATACAATAAACACATTTCTTATATGCAAGGAATATTGGAGGGTTAAATAAAATATAAGCCATAATCAGCTTTCTTTATACACATCACTGAAAAAAAATTTGAGATTTTTTTGATTGATCTGGTGATTGTATACAACGTAGCAGAAATAGGCATTAAGAAGTTTTTGGTACAAAGGGAGAGCATTTTGAGTATTGCTGTGACCAATATTTAGATCTTGGGCCAGGCAATGGGAACCTTTGGTCATTTAGTATGTAAGGAGAGTTGTACAGTAAAACTGAATGAGGTTTTTAGGGAAGATTTTATAAAATATAAATGCTAACTGGATACTGGAAAGTGAAAACCAATAGTGTTTAGAAATGCATGCCTAAAGAGAAAATAATGAAGAATGCACATGGCATATCATGAAAACAGAGAGCAGATGTGGCAAACAAAAGAATTATTAAGAAAAGGACAAGAGGTGTGTGCATCGGAAGCTTTGTGTGGGAGGTGTTACTAGATCATACGAACAGGAAGCACTACGTGGGAGGTTACTAGACCATATGCACCAGAAGCAGTGATGAAGGTGTACTATGTTAAGATGTATATTACACTGGCAGACCACAGAAGTATTTCACTGTATGACCCCCACAAACACCTGAGAATATAGTACAGCTAACATACAAAAATAATAATGTATTCTATTGGGCTACATTAATACATTTGCCTACATATGAATACACGAACAATGTATTCTGATTTTAGTTTAAAACAAACTTTCAACTAACCTCTAGGAGCTTTTTTGCTTGTTTGATGCGCCCACATTCAATGAAGGCAAATACCATGTCATACAAGCTATTCAGGTCTCCATGGATTTCAATACTCAAGTCCATGATTTTCTGCAATCTATAAAAAATATATATACTGAATATTTAATAATTAATATATATATATATATATACACACCATAAAAATTACCTCTCGCTTTGTTATCTTCATATGTACGAAAAATCTATTTCTTGCACTCTTCCACTTACACAGAACCACTTCCATTACCACCCCTACCAATAAAAATTACTACATATACAGTATATACATTGGAAATCATTTGTCCTGATTTGCATATCCTCATTCCGGAGAAGCGTTTTGTTTTCCTCCAGTCTATTTCCCATAAACAGCGAATAATAATAATATGCTAAAATCTGGGTCACTAACTATGTTATACCCAAAGGATTATTCACAGTGCTAAAGTGAGGATATATCATCTATGCAAGCACCACCACCTACACCTTTCAATGGATTAAACTGAAACAATATATTAGTTATATACATAAGATATATATATACAGTTGATTATTTAAATATGTGCTTGGGGCACTATATCATTTTTGTATCCTTTAATTAAGAAGAAGAAAAAAAAAAAAAGGTCCCTGAAAGAAATGTGTTCTTATAAATAACATTGCTCCCTCACAAATTTTGGCACAAACCAAGAACCAAATTGAACACACATGGAACCCCCTCATACTGTTACCAAATACAAACCTTTAGTGCTTTACCAACTACACGAGGCAAAACCCAAAAAACCCTTTCTGGCCAAAAGATCCAGCAATATTACTATGTTATATATATATATTACACGTGTTATGTTATTAACATTTATAGACACTAAGGCCCCCGATGAGAATGCTATAGCTTCTCATTATATAGATATACTATAATGAAGGCAGCCTCCAGTTAGTTAATCAGAATCAGACAAGTCTTGGGAATACATACCTTGCGTAATGAGAAATAATTGGAAACCGTTTTTCAAAGCCCACCCTGGAGAAGATAGATACCAAAGAAAATTTGGTAAGAAAGACCCACTTTCACTAACTGTGTGTATACATATTCTTTACATACATCTCTTAAATGCTCTTAATCACTTCAAGTTGAGTATTTTGCGCAAAAGTTCCTGCAAGTATGCAGCACATTTTTATGTGTGTGTGGATTCAGGACTAAAGTTAGATATTTGAACTAGCTGTCTTCCTAAAAACACAATCCACCAATATTGTATCCCCCTGAAGAACAAAGTTAGCAGCGCACAATCGTCCCATCCTACCCAGGATTCAAATCCTGTCCTCTTCCTTGGTAGGCAAGTGATAATCAGTGCATTATAGGCAACTCTAATTAACACTTAAACTGTGAAGCATATTCTTGAGGGAAACCAAAGGGTCAAGTCGTTTCCCTCCACTATATTAATGCTATTCACTAATACTACAGAAACAAGGAAACCCCTCCAATACGGCTCTAGTTTTAACAAAAGCCACTTCTAAAGTTTAACAAAACATAAGGTAAGTGCACTTCATATTATCATACAGTACGTGATAGTCTAAGATTATCCAACAAATCCTGCACCACAATTGGAAGTGTATCATTAAGACTTCAGTAGGGTATGCCAACTTGCACCAAAAAAATTGCTGACTTGGAAAGCATGCAAGATCTTTACTGATAAAATCCACTCCATAAAACATCTAAATTACTGGGACCACTTAAACATTTTAAATCTGTATTTCCTAGAGTGCAGGCGGAAGAAATATGTAATAATTTACAATTAGAAAATACTTGAAGGACTGATTCCAAATTTGAACACAGAAATACCACTATATGAGACCAGAAGGCATGGCAGAATGTGCAAAATAGCCCCAATGAAAAGCAGAGGTGCAATAGGCACACAGAGAGAACTCAATTAACTCCAAAGCCCAGCACTTTTAAACACACTCCCACTACACACACGGGGCATAACTGGCCGACTTCTTGCAGTGTTCAAAGGAGAACCTGATAAACACCTTTAAAGGATACCTGGTCAACCAGACTGTACTCTATGTTAGGCTGTGAGCAGCCACATCAAACAGCCTGGTTGACCAGACCACCAACAATTATGCCGTGGGGGATGTTGATCCTTGGAATCACTGGCAAGTATACAACAGGTATGGTGCAACCTGTCATCTAAAAGTGAAAGTACCTATTATGACTGTGGATGAAATGTACAAAATATAGACTGTTGTATGCAACAGTCCATATTTTGTTTGTGTCCATATGCAAATTGTGTTTGGTACTATTAATTTTGTAGAGGGTATGAGAAAGAAGGCACCCACTAAACCTTACCTTTCCTAGGCATACTACAGTGCATTTACCAATATGTACCAAATCAGGCTGAAGATTGCATATGTTTGACCTAGAATTGCTTATTAAGGTCTAGGAAAAGTTAGATTAGATATATGATTAGTCTTTCAGATTTTTGTTGAGCCATTTACAATTCCAATAATACAAAACATGGACTTTTGTTTTTAAGCAAAACTGTCAATATTTGGTACTATCTTTGTTTGCAGGATGGGTTGGTTTTCCCATGCATCCAGTTAGGAAATGTATCAATATAAGCTGAACACAGTGATATTTTTACTGTACCATATTTCTGGGTTATCTTTTTTAATGAGAAAAATAGTGGTGACAGTCTGATTAGTTTTAGCTTATACTGTACTAGAAAATGGCACAATATACTTACTTATCTGCATCCTCCAAACTAATGCAACGCTTAGTCAGCTCGATCTTGTAAGGAGTCACACGATGCTCCCGGCAGATGTTTTCAAACTCCTTGAGCGCTCCATCCAAATCATCACTGCAGCAAGAAATCCTATTTAGTGCTCTTAAAATATACATTCCTTTCTTTCTGTGTGTGTGGTTTTGGTTATTCATTTGTAGCCAACTTATTATGACAATCCCATGCATATTTTATATATTATATATAGTATAAATAAATAAATAAATAAATAAATAAATAAATAAATAAATATATATATGTATAAAATCTCAAGATTTGCATGTGTGTATTTTTATTCTAATCATGGCACATGGATATGTTCAACCCTCACTTTTAACATGCACAGAGATAAAAAAAAAAACTTGGCCAGACGTTACTCTTTAACAATTATGTCCAATTGGTTAATGCATATGACACTGGATGGCTAAGCTACAAAAAAATTTTTTTTTAGGGAGAAGGAAGACCAATGTATTAAGTGCTATTAAAGTCTTTTCAGTTAGTATAAAATGATTAATGTCTCAAGTATCCAAGGAGTATTTCTATCACCTCTATTGTACTCAAAAAAATGATAAGTTTGTAATTAGTGGCCAACTAAGTTCCATAAAATGATTGGGAGTTCAAACTGAATGCAAATTTTGGTTTAAAAGTAATGCACTATTTAACTTGGTAAAATAAACAAACAATTATCTACATAAGCTGATACAAACTTTGCAAGATGGGCTCTGATGAGAGTACCGAAGACAACACTTCCAGGCTGGACAACCTTGTTGCGTAAGAGTGTGTCTAAGAAACGCTGAACTGTAGCGACATCTCCTTTGTCAGCTAGTACATCCAGAAAGCGTTTACTCAAGTTTGCCAGCACTGCCAATTCCTTGCTGTCATCATAACCTTCTTGTGCATGATTCTCAATTAACTTCAGAGCGTCTGAAATTAGAAGCAAAAAATATAATGCCACAAATGGAAGGGAAAACTGTAGGTAGTGTAAAAAGGTTAATAATTTATGATTGGGCACAAGAAGTGTTTTCTACTACTACTACTACAAAAAAAGCACTTAATACTGTATTGTTAAATTACTTTTGGACCCTTTATTTTTTTCCTCATGGATTAAGCATAAATGTTGCATTGATTTTTGAACCAGAATATATTTATTAGATTATCTGTGTGTGTGTGTGTGTAGTATATGTTCTCCATGATGTTAAGCTGTATTCTATTAGTATTCCCTGGAACACAAGTGCTAATATGTTAAAATTAGGTGTCCAATTACTGCTGGGTAAATAGCAGTGAACATTTAAGGATTGGCACCCCAGTCAATCCTCTCTGTCCAGGGTTAAAAGTTGAACAAAATCATTCACAAGGTGCAGGGCAAGTGTGCTACCACTATACCTGCTTGAATTATATGCTAAATTATAAGTTAAAGCCCACTAATAAATGTCCAAAATTAGCAAGCAGCCTTCATAAAAATAATACCTAAGCACTGCAATACCAACACTGACATCTGTCAAAATTAGCTTCCAAAAATTGTGGAGAAGGAAGAGGATTACACTGCCCAAATACAAAATAGTAAACTGAACAAAATTATGAATCTAGTATGAAACAAATCAAACATTCAGTATGAAACAAATCATGTATCCACTATGAAACAAATCCAGCACCATAAACGAATAAATCTTTTATCACGTTATGAAACAAAATCATAAAAGCATTTGAGAGATTGTCAGGTAATAAAATATTGGGAGAAGTATAGAAAAACAAACATTTATTCCCAACAGGATAAAGTTGACTTAGCCTAAGTCTAATAACTCAAGCCACTAATGCATATTCCCATTACAAAATATGTCATTTAATACAAAATATGGATAAAATAATTTACCCCTTCCAACACACTTAATTAACTTGCGTGACTAATATGTAACTTATTTAACATTACTGTATCTATGTGAATATATTTTGCAAGCAATGGACAAATAAGACAGATTTTGTTTCTACTAACCTTCCACTTTATCGTGTTGGACCATAAGGTGTGCCAGCCGTAAACATTTAAAGGGCTTTAACTTGCTTTCTGGTTCCCTTTGCTCAAGTTCTTGAAGAACTGCTATAGCCTCAGGAAGTAGACCTTCATTTACATACATATCAATCAGCAAAACATACAGGCCTGTGCCAAATGGGAAATCTTCGGCATCCAATTTCTGTAAAGACCAGTACGGAATGAACCATCAGGAAAAGACCAAACCGAATAAACGCGAAAAAAAAGGAGTGAACGTGAAGAACAAAAACTGAGTGAAGGCAGAACTTTTAATAAAATATTGCAGTACTTCAAACCGAGGATTTTTAGGAATTTCATAAATGTGAAAAATGTTAGGGTGTATGTGTATATATATACACATACACACAAAACACTGAATATATGTATATATTTGGAAAACATTTAACTATTTGTAGAAGATATTTTGGCAGTGAGGTTTTTATCCGCCATGATAATACTGTATCCAAATTTACAAAGCAATACAGCACAAAATATGAAAATTAGTAAATTAAGTCAATTTATTCAAAGCTCTGAATACAAATTATGAATCAAGTTGTTCAGATCTAGAAAACCAACCTTTTTGACCTCTTCGGCTTTCTTTGTGTCCCGAGTGCGAATATGAGTAAAAAGCAGCTGACTTAGAATATTTCCTGTTGGAAGGTTGTTGGTTTCCAGTTCAACAAGGCGACGCTCAAGCTCTTCCACATTCTGGAATGGCTGAAATTATACAAAAAGCTTTAATTCAAGTTTTTCCACTAATGTAGTTCAATGACAACTGAAGCACCTGTCCCCCTGTAAAAACACCTGAGATCACTTTTCTGTCAAGACAAATTCTGGGCCTGAGCTTGGTTGAATGTAGTACCTTCTCAATTTCATGTTAGTACAGTACAGAAGTTTCCTTTTATTGCGATTAGAGAAAAGAAAATGTTAGCAGAAGGTATCAAACGTAAAATACCAATGCTTGCATTAAAAATTTTCACACAACTTTTCATCCAGTGATAATGCCACATTGCACAAATTGTTTTAATTAAAGATTTTATATACTGTAATATAAAAAATTATTGTCTTCTTATGATTATTTCAGTTGATGACATCTGTTCTTATTACTGCAAGAATTCATAAGCAGGGTTCACAATCTTGCATCATGATGATATATGCATTACAAATATAAATACACAGTGTGACCTTCTCATTTTCCACATTTCCATTTTCCTAGCTGTCAAGGTATTCAGAAACATGATTATCTGGTTCTCCACCCCTTTTATCCGAATTGTTTTGGTGCAAGCCATTGCTGGAAGATACCCACTTGATCCCAATAACAAATTTAAATGGTTTCCTACACATACACATTGGTGAACTCCTATTAAACCAACATTACAAATATTTTTAGAAGGAAAAATTGTCACATCTTTTTCTTCAAGTTACCAGAATTTCAGAACATGTTGCTTTCCTACTACATGCAGATTTGATTGTGTTTTGTACCCCATATTTTGTTTAAGGTCTTTGTTTTTACCATACATAAATACCCAGAATTTATCACGGTTAAACATCATATTATTTTCTGTTGCCTAATCAAAAACTTCATTACAGTAATATCACACTGTACTTTTCAATGTCTTCTACAGAAGTAATTTTCATGCAGATTTTTATTTCATCTGTAAAGGATAAAATGAAGTTATGAAGTTGTGACTTCCTATTTTTGTTATAGCTGATATGAGAATAAGGAAAACAGTACTCATCTAGTTGTTGTGCTTGTGGGGGTTGAGTTTTGGCTCTTTGGTCCTACCTCCGAATCTACTTATGTACAGGTAGCTTATTGAGCTCCATCATATCTACATTTGGAACTGTGTTTAGAGTCAGCCTCCACCATATCACTTCCTTACGCATTTATTTACTATGCTGACACTGAGAAAGTTCTTTCTAATATATTTGTGAACAATAGAACAAAGTGCAAGGACTTTGCCCTGAGGTACAGAGCTTTAAACTGTGCTTAAACTATTTTATTTGGTTGACTGCTAGTCTTTGCATTCAGTTTAACAGAAAATTGAATATCCATCACCCTACTGACCTCATTTAGTGAGCTATCACTCCATAGTCACATTCCTCAAATGCCTTTGCAAAGTCCATGTATATCACATCTGCAGTCTGTTTTCTTCTAATGCATCAGTGATTTTGTCATAGTGGTCGAGTAGCTACACTATAGACATTATAATCATATTAAAAATAGTGTTATCAAACTTACCCGTGATCCCACAAATTCCCGAGGTGGAGGTTGAAATGTGAGATCTTCAGATGACAAGCTATCCAAAAGCTTTAACACTTCTTCATTCATTCGCTGCTCCAGTTTGGACTTGATGAGTACAGCATTGTCTTTGCTAATATTCATATTCCGACTTGCCATTTCCTAGAAGATGCCAACCAAAACATCCCATTATTAAGACTGTACACATTACAAACAGTCCATCTTTCCAGTCCATCATGGCAGATGAAATGAGAAAGAAATTAAATGAGTGAAATGATACAATAAAATGTAAGTGATCAATGAAAACTTGGACTATTAATTGAAAGAAACAGAATAAGGCTGAATTACAGGTTCAAGATGAATCACTGAGTAACAAAAACAAACAATAAATAGGTCTGTGAAAGAGAAGGATGGCAGAGAGGAGAGACTTGCCATATCAGGAGGAGGTTACCTCATCTCTTCTCAAACTGCATGATTCATGACTAGCCTGCATGTACAGTCCAAATTAATGTGCAATACCATTAAACTCCTTGAAAAACAATAATGTATACACAGCCTGCATCAGACAAGTTCTAGAAAACATAGCACCAGCATGGAATACTTATTTTGTGATGAGCTACACGAGGACTGAAAACTAAGGAAGGGGGAGGGGGGATAAAAGAGGACCAAAGGAGAAATATTACATAAAAGAGGCAACTACAGGAATTGGAGGAATGGAGGAAAGAAAGATCTATAATATTGAGCTGCCACATAAGATTGTTTTAACATTAGGCTGATAACAAAGCAAAATGATATCAAAACTATAAATACTGTGTCGACAGAAGTTGAAGATACCTTAATTTAAAAATAATATTCATAAGTATCATTAGCTCTAACAACCCAAAACACAGTAAATTGCTAAATTCAAATGCAGTCCAACTTGGTTAATGCTATCCTAAGACAGGATAGCATTATCCTAAGTGCTTCAATTCCAAATACATTTGCAAAAACTTGCCTTGAAAAACGATAAATCTTTACAGTAGGCACAATATCCAAGAGCAACACAAATTCATCACCGAATCAATGTCAACACTGATTCGACGTTGAATTAATGAACTAACGTCGAACTAACCACTTGGGTATATTGTGCCCACTAGGTTCCCCAAGCCGCTAGCTTTCCCTCCCATCACAGCATATTAAAGACTGGTCCACACATTAATACAATCAAGATGAATCTGAATTAACGATAAAGGGAATGGGAAGGGAACAAAATTATAATGTTTAGGCCGACAGGGTTTCACACAGTAAAATCTTGCAGCAGGACACCCACCTGAAGAAGTGGCTTTATTCTATTGTCTAATGAAGACCTATGGGAACTCTGTATTACATCCAGTATAAACAGTCCAGCAATATCCTGCTGGAGAGCTTCAACTTCTGTTTCTTTAGCTTCACCAACTGGAAAGATAAAAAAAATTGGAATACATGCTTATCATCAGTCTTTTATTCATCCTGCTTATGCTACATCACCTTCATGTCATCCTACATCATAATGATTCCATCCATTTTCAGATATTACCTGCATTTTACTTGTACACGTATTTGATTTCAAGTTTTTTCTTACTCAACTAGATTGTGATTTTAATGTGCAGGATAGGAACCTGACCATCCAGTACTGTATTTTTCACGTGTATATTTTGACATCCGTTTCATATCATTTCAGAAGGTCCCAATAGTTCAGTCAGGTTTGTTCGACTCACAATTGAGAACTCTGTGTTCGAATCCCGAGTGGCACAGGAATGGTTGGACGCGTTTCCCATCGCCTCATGCCCCTGTCCACCTAGCAGTTAATAGGTACCCGAAAGTTAATTGGCTCTTTTTTTTTTCAGGGATATTGTGGGGTTACATCCTGGGGAGGGTCAGTAATTCAACCCTGGGAAGGACCTCGATATAAGCCTAACATGTACTGTACGTATATACTGGCTGCCTGTCCCCCAACACAATGTATTATAAAATTATTATATCTACATATACAGTTCTAAACAAAGACTTCCTAAATAAGAAATATTTAAATAACAGCCAAATGGAACCATCAATGTACCCAAAACTTTTTAAGAGTGGCAATATGTCAATACACACCCATCCCACAATCAAATAAAACTACTCATTTGTTTTCTAAATCAACACTTATGTGTAATGCCTCATTTACCTGTTTCTTGATTGTACTGCAGCATGTAGCCAAGAACTATAGCTGTTGCCATCGAGTCACCTACTTCAATATAAGCATCAACCAGGTCACGACGAAGAGCAGGCGTCAAGCGGAAGCGGTACCTGGATACTGATGAAGAGAAGTACAGTACTGTAATGGTATTTATACAACATTGAAATGACTTACAATGCTACATCCGGTGATTACAAAGCCCTGTATGGTAGATCAAAATCAGATCATCTTGATGTTTAACAGGAATTATAGCTATAAACAAAGCAAGAACATGTCTTAAGATTCATATAAATGCCATTTCTCAATATCAAGTCATGCCGAGCACAACTGTTGACTATCGGCTATATACACTCTCACTAATAAACTACCGGTTGTGATGCAAGTGTTTTTAACCTGTTCTCATAGCCAAACCCCCTCAATTCTGTTCCTAGTTACAAACCTCTTTACTTTCTCAAGTTTTCTGAGAAAAATAAGGAAATTCCCATTGGACTAGCCCCCGAAATAAGGGGCTCAAATATGAGGGCAGATTAAGGGCACTGAACCTCACAGCCGTAAAGAGAAGAAGCAGAATGGATATGATCGCAACATTGAAGATTCTGAGGGAACTTGACAAGATGAGAGAGGACAGCCTAGTTAAAATAGGGTACTGGGAAAAGGAAAAATATGATACAGAACTGCAATGTCAAGAGATATAATGAACACAGCAGAATAAAAGACTAGGAGACATGGCTTAAAGAGCCAGATCTCACACTCCTATAGTCATTAAAAGGTAAGCACTGTACAGTATTTATTCTTGCCCCCAAAGATGTATCAATAAGACAACACTGGATTAAAAAAAAAAAAGGTATCAACTGGCATTTAACATGATTAGCCAAGTTCACATCACCAAGATGGAGCTAGCTTTAACTAATCCTTACATATGAGAATGCTTTTCAATTACTAGGTAGGGACAATATGCATCAGGCAACATGACACTTCACCCCATCATTCTATTAAGTGTTCTCAGCTCTATATCTACCTTACAGGTACTGTGCATGAACATACAGGCAGACATATGGTCATCTTACCCCTATATACAATCTTAAATATATATCTTAAAAGTTCATCAAGACAAGCAATTTATAGCATATATTTCTCGTATTAAATTCAATGATACCTAAATGTATCTCAGTATTCAATAACACACTACCTTCTAGTTTGAACATACTTTGAACAGTGTTCTAAATATACAGGGTTTTAAAAAAGAAAACACAATAATGCCATGAATCAATTTACACATTACATAGCTATAAAATTAGGCCTATTTTTTATCTATGCTTACCTAAATTAGCTGCAGCTGCTATATCTTTCTTTTCAAGAAGGTAGGCAACACACCCACTAATTATTGCTGCAAAAGGCATCCCTGCATCTTTTAGTGCTCTAATCACACTATCTAGATCCTGATGACACAAGGCTGCTGGTATCACATAATGTTTAAAAGTTTCAAACGTCAAGGGAACCTCAAAGGTAACCATCTCCTTCACAGTGTCATAAAGCTCTGAAACAAATTACATCAAGGAATGTTAAGTTCCACAAATGGTACATAGCATGCTTGCAGTAATATTAGAATTGTCTGAGCTTTGATTCCCATCATCACTATTCCAATTTCTCATTCACATGTCACAAAAAGACAATTGGTCTTATATGAAGAAAGAGTGCAAGATTGTTAGCACTATTGAGCAACATCAACATGCACACCAATTTGATTATTATGTCATCTAGGCAATCAATACATGACCTGTGTGCAGGCTACTAGTACATGAACCTCATTCACATATTAAGCAATTACAGTAATGCAATTACATCCATAAGTATTATAACTATATTGCAAAGATTCAATGGTAAAAGAAATTGGTAAAGATTAGTAAACATCCCAGGGCAATAATAACAAATTTTTAAATGACAATTACCAGTAGCCCAGATCAACAAACAACAAAGATCACATGTTGAGGGTTAAGACTAATAGAAAGGTACAAAAGCATTAAAAATACTCACTCTCAATTTTGCCATGTTTGGCATAGTGCAAGATGATAGGCCAGAAGTAATGTGTCCTTAACTGAACTCCATCCTCATTCATCACTCTTAATATGAACATAGCTGCTTCAGGAAGGCCATTTGATAGAGCAGCACCGAGAGCCGTCTCCAAAGCAAACATATTTTGACCATTTTTCTTCATTTCTTGGCAGTACTGCACTGCTATTGATGTAGGCTGTGAAATAATAAAATATGCAATTACCATTCTTTCCTACAATATACACAAGACAATTTCCATAAGCAGCTCTTTCACTGCACATACTGAAAGTAAATAAAAGGCATGTGTAAGTAAATAAATTAAGCCATGGATCACTATGAGATGCATGTATAAATAATTTAAATAGATTTAATAAATACAAATCATCTATAAATAATCTGTAACTATGTGTATGACAGTAACACGTATGGCAGGAAGTCATGGAAACCTCTCAGAAATGTGTTCATGAGGAAATACACAAACGAAAGCAATGCATATTTTGACAAATCTTCACATAAGGAGCTTGGAATGTTCATATAAAGAAAAACAAAAACAGAATCATTACTAGTTATGTATATAGAAATGAACCTGGCAAAAGCCATGGAGAAAATTATATTTTCTCTCGACCACAGAAATAATGATAAAACATTAATGTTTAGAAAAGAAAACAAAAATCACAAAGATGTTGGCTAAATACTCAGTGCTTCCAACTCTCAAAACTCAAATAAGGCTTTAAGTAATACCGTGCACAACACCAACACGGAATATTTATGTAAATGATAAGACAGGTCCCCCTCCATTGGACTCTCGACACAAATTATATAAATTATGGTGCACATACCAAGCCACATTTCACAATATGTTTGATGAAGAAAAACCCAACTGGGTTTGATTCTCCTTCTGCATTCTGCGGACTTTTCATTGTGGAGAACATCTTGTACGCTACCTCATGGCATCCTGCATTCAACAGTCGATAAACAAGGTTCATAACATCTTGCTGGTAGCCTGCTACTTTCTGAAGCTTCTCTATTATCTGCAATGTTATATCTTTGTTAGTAAGAGTTATCTTTGTTGAAGGATATATATATATTTGTCTACAGCAAAGTAAAATTAGCAGTGTTATGTAAAGTCTTTACTCCCAATGAACCTTTTTTATATTACCCAACACCTATTCATAACTCTTCCCAGATTTCAATTTTGCAGCAAGTGACAATGAAATAGAATGTATACATGATACAAACCATTGGAACATGCTGTTGGTGCCCTTTGATTGCTAGGGCTAAAATGATTTCCATAAGTTCCCGATCATGGAGGTGAAGCTCGGCCAATTCACATTCTGCTAGAGCTGACTGAAGACCCTCAATATTCCCATGTTCAGCATAGCTCACAAGTAACATTGTATAGGTGTCTGTGCTGGGTTCCAAACCAGAGCCTTTCATTACATCCAATACCTTGTGTGCACTTTCCATGTCACTGCAACACAAGAACACACACAAATGAACTTGAAATTTCAGAACTTGAAATTTATAGTGATAAAATAGTGCCTGGAACACAAGCACCAATCATAATTATGGCAAAGCCATTAATTAGGATAAGCCATAATATTGCATGTACTAGGGTTCACAGAATGGTCAACAAGGTGAATGCTTCATGTGCTCGAGAGAATGAAGATAAATATTTGTGTTAAATGTGGAAGCATTACATAAACATTAAATTTAGAGTACAGTACATAATTAAAATAGAGAATGTGTGTATCAACCTCACCTAGAGATAAAGACTGGATTGAAAATTGAAATACGTTTATTGAGGTATAAATATACACAAAGGGATGATAAAAAGTGAACAATTTAAAGAGGTGCTGAAGTGCTTGGAATAACCACTTACTTTGCTCTGGCATGACCCATAATGAGAGTATTGAAAATATTTTCACCAACAGGCAACTGCTTCTCTTTCATAAACTCTAGAATTTTAGTGGCTCCATCAATGTCTCCATCCTGTAATAATCAAAACTAACATTAAACCTTTATATTCCTAATATATTTACTGCATGTACAAAACTGAAGTATACAAGAACATAAATTTCACTTGACTAAGTATGAAGATCCAACGATGTTAGAAAAAATGATCAAAAGTGAATCTCAAATTGGTTTAGTTATTAACGCTCAGGCAGCGGTTATCGACAAATGTTGATTCACAGGGTAATGAGGGTATCATCAAATGATGATTTAAACAATTACTGTCTGGGTTTTACATGTATGATGCAAATAATAATAGTTGTATGTGGATGTAATGGAGTTTACCCTGACCCATGGAAAAAACCTGCTATCGTTTCATACTTACGTTAATTTGTGAATACAGTTATGGTCATAAATGTTACTAGGTGAATGCAGGCATTGTCAGTACATAAAATTCCCTAATAATTACACGATATGCATACCATTGATGTTTATATGGTTTTGACTACTAGCAGAACACATGAGTTGCATACCTCAGTGTCAGGAAATTCGGTATCATGTGTTGACAGACACGTGACTACATAGTCACCGTACAACCTTTCAGAGCACCTCAACCAGTAAAAAGATAAATATTCACTTATTTTTATGTTTTTTTTTTAAACATTTTGCATTCAAATTAATAATTCTATTATGAAAAATACATTTGAGTGTTTTTTATTTTTGTGCGCATAGGCTATACGACCATTTTTCCATAACTGCTGTCTCAGGGTTAAATCAATAGAAACTATCTTCCCCACTTCTCACTTTTCTTATAAATGAGGAACCTACTCTTACAGGCAATTGCCAACCTATTTACACAACCTTAATTCTTAGTGTAAGTAATTGGTGATGTATTCACATATGTGATAGCTAAAGTCCGAGACCAAGCCTGGTGACATCTGAAGAGGTAACATTACCTGGCAATAGCGAGCAATAAGACGCTGGTAGGTTACTCTGTTGGGCTCTATGCCTTTTTTCTCAAGATCAGCCAGGAACTCCGTTGGCGAAAATTTGTGCTCGTTTTCCAGATAAACCCGAAGAAGGGTATTATAATGGCTCACATCCAGAGGAATTCCTGCAATTGAGAATATGTGATAGTTGTGAGGGCTATGTATGAGGGGCCAATTCTCTCGATCCAATATTTAAAACCTTTACAAATCAATAATAAGAGCATGATTACAATGTTTAAAGATAAAACCGGTCTTTTAAAAATTTGCAAATTAGTTTATATTTCAACACTTATTGAGATAAGAGTACTGTACCTTGATCCAGCAGCTTTAAAAACTTTTAGAAAATATATAATATATGCTAACACACTGTAAAAACACAACTAATAAACATATTTTATCTAAACTTACGTAATTCTAGTAATGTATCCCAAATTTCTTGCAACAACTTATTCCGAACTTCTGGTAGTTCTTCAGGTACTAGACTTCCACAACATCGAAGCAAGAGCAGGCTTTGATTACTTGAGGCATATTCTGAAAGTAAACAAATTAAAGCCCATGACTTATCTAATGAAAAATCAACAAATTATATGAATTCCAATACAACTTACATGTAGACTATAATGATGTATTCTATTTTTTATTTATTAAACATATATGGACTAGATATAGATATAGGGACTACAATTTATTAAAAAAAAAAAAATTTGAGACCAGATTAGATGATTAATTTAGCAGATATTTAGATGCCTATAATTAAAATCATTTGGCTTTAATTTGGGACCATAAATTATTACTAATTTGATCTTTTTTTTTATCAATTTCAGTTTGCTAGATCAATGGGTATAACACAACTGAATGCTTAGAAAGCCAGGCATTAATCACTGCAATGACTCAGATCAACAGATAACCATATTTTGAGGATTAAAAGCTAAAGCCCTCTTTTACTTGTCCTTTTATCTTCAGACTAAAGCATCCCCACCATGAAACCTGCTTCATGGGATTCTGGGAGTTCTTTAACTCCCCAAGCCGGGCCCAAGGCCAGGCTCAACACCTAATGAGAATAGGAATTGGGATAATGATAACTGATCTTGTATGTATGTACTATAACCTGGCTGTGATTCATACATCAGGCTGCGAGCAGCCGCGTCCAATAGCCTGGTCCAGCACCAAGGAGGCCTGGTCGAGGACGTTGAGCCTCGAAATCATTGCAAGGTAACCGCAAGGTAAGATACCTTACCTTCCCTTGCTATTGCCACCCACCAGGTCGTAAAAGTAAAATAAAAATTTATATTCACACAAAAATATAAAAATTAGCTGCACTTCAAAAATACTGCACCAAATGTAGTAATATAAATACAGAAATTAATAATTTTGAATCATACTTAGCGCTTTGATTTCTCTAAATATTTCTTCAATATCCTTCTTAAATATTCGTCCCGTTCTTCGTATCTCAGTATCAATACGAAACAAAGCTTTATCAATTCCTACTGTATGTACTTGTCCACTTCGGACATTTTCCACTGGCCTCTGTGCTGACAACAATCTGAAAAAAATACAAATATATATACTTGTACTATTAAAGATACAGACCAAGCTAAAAGACAGCACTTGATTTTTATAGGCTGTTAAACCTGTGTAAAGCAAAAACTGTAAATTAAAATTATAAGTTATGGAGTATGTGAACCCAAGTGTATGTGTATGTGTATGAGCTGGTACAGCTCATGAGCTTGTCTGAGCTCTTGCCAATGTTAATGACATTGTTAACGTCATTAACAATTTAAAAATAAAAAATACTTATAATATCAGCAGACGACGCCTAACATTGTTCCATGCCGGTGACTCCATGCCCCAAAATATTAGATATTTCTAGGCCTACCTCGTGACTGACGAATGTAGCGGCATCGTCTGGAGCCTCTGAAGGGTGAGAGCTTCGCATCGTGGGACATTTGAAGTCCATGATTGCCTAAAACCACTAAAAATCCTGTGAAAACTGCGGGATCGAAGCAACGCAGCCATCTTCGAGGTTGTGCCAGCTGATCTCTGCTTCACATCTCGCAACAAACGGAGAGGCTGTACTCATGTCCTAAAGTAATTATAGTATAGCTTTTTGTCTTATTTTACAGTAAATTTATTACAATTTAAAATTTATTTCGATTATATGTATTAACAGCGTTTACTACACGTAGACTTATTTCATAATTGAAATGTTAATTCTGTACATTATCTGAACCATTCCAACAAACGCAAACAAATGGTACGAACCTAAATTAAATAATGCTAGATGAACCTTAATAAAGTAACATATGTCTTTAAAATAAAGATGAATCTGAAGTCTAAATGTATATAATCTAAAATATTTTGTAAGTTGTAAATTGTGTCCTATTTTGGTTTTAGGAACAACAAACACAGGAGTTTCGTGTAGCGTTTCGTCCACTACTGTATTCAAGCACGTGGAGTCCTCGTTTTCAAAAGTTATTTGGATCGGAGAAAGTTCAACGCAGAGCGACAAAATTCATCCAAGAACGAATTCGACTCTCATACGAAGAATGGTTGAGGGCCATAGTACTAATAATAGTGTGGCAGATCCCCAGTATCATCCATTGATACTGATAATGGCTCCAAAGCAACATGGAGACAAGGAGACAACAATTTTGCTCGAAACGCTATGCGTAAAAGTGGCTTTAGGCCACTAGTACGCATAGCTAGTATGTACTAGCTCTATCTTTAAATTCCAACACTATGTTTGTAACTCATCTTCAATGTATGTATCTTTACCTGAATTAAAAATCTTAAATCTAAATCTAAAGAGCCTCTGCTTACGGGCTCACCATCTACCCAACCACTTGGGGTGGACGGTAGAGCAACGGTCTCGCTTCACGCAGGTCGGCGTTCAATCCCCGACCGTCCAAGTGGTTGGGCATCATTCCTTTTCCCCGTCACATCCCAAATCCTTATCCCTTCCAAGTGCTACATAATCGTAATGGCTTGGCGCTTTCTCCCGATAATTCACTTCCCTTACCGGCTCACCATAACTCGTGCTACTTGGAACTGTTTTGTTCCTAGTGGCTGAATCTAAAACAACAACGTCAGAAAATTTATACAAATAATGGTTCCAAAGAGCCTCCACTTACGGACTCACTAAAGTCCGTGCTACATGGATTTTTTTTCAAGTATCTGAATCTAAAATAATAACATCATACCCGCCGAAGTCGTAAATGCCAAGACATTACTGTAGGTCAAACTCCAGCTGGAAAAATCCTCATGAAGCATGGGGATTTATAACAAGTTTTTCATGGGGATATTTGAACAAATCCTCATGATCTTTAACAAGTCGCCGGTTTGCTGTCCCCGTCGACACCACTAGATGGATGAGGCTTTCAGGTAAATTCAGGAATTCTAATTATAATTACTTTATTTTATCATTTGTATCCGTCCGAATACAGGTCACCTCAACAACAAGATTTCTTTAACTTATTTTAAGACTTTCCTAACTAAGTTATAACCGATAGTAAAAACCGACTAACACATTATAATTACGCCAGTGGTCACATTAACTATGGGAAACTTCCTCGTCCTCGACTTCTTCAGGAGTTAGATCAAAGACAGGCAGCAGACCAAAGATGTTGTGTCCATGACCTATCGTTTCCATGGACACACGAGATGTCCCTTTGGCTACTAAAAAAAATTCCCTTCTCTATTCCTTACAGGACCTAGCTATACTGCAACAAATAAGGACAAAACTAATTGCCCGAATCACACTATTTTGACTCATCCAATTAGCATATAGAAAAGTATCTTTGGTAAAATTTCGAAGGCAATTAAAGCTTTGATTAATATTCTAAAAATTGCACTTGATTAGTCATGAATATCTATATGTCGCAACTAACAACATTAGTTCGTGTATTAATATTACGCATGAGTTTTATTGTATGCACAGCACCTCTATTTTTATTTGTCGCGAGGCTATATAAGGATGGGGCGAAAGTGTTTTGCAGTTCAGTCTTACATCAGTTTGTGTGCGAGATGGTGTGTCGACATACATTCACTTTCCTGGTTAGTCGAGGCAGCGTGGCTTTCAGTCTCTGGAAAACAGTAGCGATGCTTGTATGACGTCTTATCATTGCAATAATGATGGGTTTGCGGCAGTAAAAATATTTAGGGGGCGTGACGGCTTAGTGGACAGCGCTCGGGGTTCGTAGTCCTAAAGGTCCAGGTTCGATCCTCGACGGAGGCAGAAACAAATGAGCAGAGATTCTTTTGAAACTGATGCATCTGTTCACTTAGCTGTAAATAAGAGCCTGGGAATTAGACAGCTGCTTCCCGGGGATGTGTGTGTGTGAAAATTAGGATTAAGGACTTGCCCGAAAAGCTATGCGTGCTAGTGGCTGTACAAGAATGTAAGAACTCTTGTATAAATACAAAAATATATATGTCTCCCCCTTCGTAGCAGTTGCCCGAAACGCTTTGGGTAACAGTGGCTTCAATAGTAGTTGGGAAGATCTCGGACGTAGGTTCGAATCCTCGTCACGGCCCTTTTGGATTTGTTCAGTAGTATGTGTAACGCCTGTCCTCTTATGTTCTTTGCATATATATTCTTTTGAATAAACATAATAATTATTATTATTATTAAGTGAATACAATTTTGTTGTCATTAATGCAGTGTTTCCCATTTTCTTTTATAGTGGTGAAAGTACACATAATAGTGTGCTACTAATTGTGTCAACGGTTCTAGAGGCCCAGTTATATATACATTCTTACTTGCCAATTGGTAATTTATTTTAAATAATGATACTTTTTTTCTAATCGTTTGATTTAAATTTAGATCAACACAATCTTCCTCCTCGGTGAAGTTATTCCGCTTCTGGTGTTAAGACTAGTGTCAAGTCTTTGTAATAACTAATAAAGGTTTACATTAAGGCTGCTAAAGCCTGTGTTAAGGCTGATCAAGCTTGAGTTACGGCTGGTGGTAAGTATGGAATAGAATCTTCCAGTCCTCTTCAGTCCTTTCCACTCTCATCAATTTTGAGTCGTCTGAAATTATTTCAACCCATCCTGAAACTATAGTACTACTAATATGAAGTGTTTGGTCGAACGTAAAAAAAATGGTCTGTTGGAACTAACAAGAGTCACGTTTTGCACTATTAACTTTTTAGAGAGCACAACAAAAATAAGCCAAAAACCGAACTTAAACATTCCTGGGCCTCGTATAGTACATATATGTACTGCATTAGGCCTACAATTGTGTATATTAGTCCTAGGAGTGCTTGGACAGGTTAAGTTAGGCTCTTTAGTTACATTTTCAATTCATTAGTATGTTATTTAGGCTAATTCAGTAATACAAATCGTTAAAAAAAATTGTGTCCAAAAATCCATTATTATACTTTTTATCAAATAATTGCTATAAGGACTATTATTTTTAGGTAGAGGGGGCTGAATTATTTTCATGTACGAATCTATCTCTTCCGAGAGATCATTTATATAAATCAGGAACTAGTGGTCCAAGTACTAAGCACTGCAGGACCAGTTGATTCCCACGAATGCAGCTTCCGATGTCTGTCTGTCTATCTGACTTCTTATTTCACATAAATAACCCTTGTAGAAGTAAATAATTACCCAAAGAAAGTCTTATCCATGATGGCTACAAGGCTTTTCATTGACTGGGAAAGGAAGCCTGATAAACCCGTCCAGACTTCCATAGGACCAACGACTGGGTTCAATGTAAGATTGATTCAACACAATAGCCTGTGAACGCCATCACCATGAAGCTCTCCATAATGTAAGAAAAGTATGAAGTTAATAAAAAAATGAACCCTAATAAAACAAGAGGTAAACTGCGCTCACTCTCACTACATCACTTTTGTCGTCTCAGTCTTATTAACAAGAGATTACACAAGTTCTTTGGTCTTGTTCCGTTGCTTTCACACTCCCTCCAGGTGCGGGTGTGGGAGAGAGGAGGGGGGAAAGCAACGTGGCGCAGTGATCAGCGTAGTTGGTTAGAATAATCCAGAGTTCGATTCCTGGGTAGAACGGAAGCATTTGGGCATGTTTCCTTACGTCTGATGCCTATGTTCACCTAGCAGGGGGAAATAGGTACTCGAATGTTATAGCCTGTTGTGAGTTGTATCCTTGGGGAAGATCAGTTGTTGACTTACGAGGTTCTCAGTAAGTCGAACATACTGCCTGTCTTCGACAGGGGGAACTAATATAATCAGATAGATGAGGAAATCGATTGGGAAATCATGACCGAATACTACAGAGGAACATGTAATTAACCGCAATTTGGTCTGGGTGGCGTCAGAAGTTTCTCCCTGTGGTCGGTGGGGGCGGTGAGGAAGCCAACCTTCCAGCTGTCGCTCTTAAAGCTAATTGCGAAATTAGAAACTTGCGTGTCATAGTTTCCTCTCCGTATTGCGTATTTCTATTGTGTATAATATAATAATTAGTTGCGGAGAATGTTGGGTATGTTTATGATGCTGATTCAACAAGGCTCAGAGGTGCTTTTACTGGTCCGATGTTGGGTTTGTAGGTGCGGAACACGAGGTAAACTGCTCATTATCCAGTTTACCTGCACATTAGGGGACTGGGTCAGCAGGTGTTACAGGTGTATTTGATGAGACAATAGTTGGTGTACAAGTGTGCTAAACGGCTTATCCTTCGACCTATAGGCGTGATTATATTCCCTAACAGACCTAATCCGTTTCCAACCATGCTAAATAACGTAATTTCTCGCCTGCAGATGTGGGTGTGGGGGACCGTGGCCCGGGGCACCTCGCTGAACTTCGTACACGACGAGGCAACGCCAATAAACGACCATATCAGCAACACAGATCAAGTGAGTCTCTACCGCCACTCGACGACGACCTCAAGACCACACACACTAGACGACAAGGAGACACATAATGACAGCAAAGGCGGAAATGATGACAAATCATCGCTAACGGATAACACTTATGGCGAGGAGACACTCGGCGATTTACTAGGTTAAGAAAGAGGTGAGGGAGACGACATGGAAGAATTACCGATACTATGAACGCCTTCAACGACAGGGTTAGGTTGTGGAAGATTATAAGTACAGTGAATGAACATTAGAGCTTGAGATAAGACGTTATCAGGAGAGCGCGCTAAGCCACCGCGACTATATAGCACTTGGGAAGATACGAGACTGGGTATGAGCTGGGATATGAAGACAGTGATGGAATGGTACCTAACTCCTCGGACCATAGGGAATTGAACTCCGACCCCTGCAAGAAGCGAGGCCTCACCTCGCTAAGTGGATAGACAAGAGGTACTTCAAAACGGCGACAAGCAACGACAAATGTCGTCAAAGTAGACGATGCGACTACTTTGACAACGAAAGCAAAGAGATAACGAGACGTTGAGAGACGATTACTTAGTCCGGGGACAAGATGACACAAAAGACTAACAGACCATGACGACGTAAACGACAAGGACACCACCAACGAGTAAATAACGAATTAATGGATTAAATAAACGACACTAATACACAAAATGACACCGATGTAAGGACAATAAATAGAGAAAGCACGAATGAAACACAACAAATATGCAATGGATAATTATAACGGGCCCGCTCTCCCTTGCCATGAGTCCTGCGTTGCGGGAATGGTGGGATCTCTCGGACCCCACTATGGAAGAGGTGGGGCCTTTTGGACCTTATTGTGGGAGTGATGGGGACATCTCGGACCCCACCGTGGCAGTGGTGGGTTCCCCATTATGGAGGTGGAGTGACCTCTCTTTTGGCTAAGTTCTCTATGGTCGTTTTAAATAAGGTGAGTGACATATGCCAGTGAGACAGTGACACAGGTTAGTTGTACGTCGCACGGGTGACTTAAACCGGTGAGTGACAGAATAGTGACAATGGGTGACATGAATGCGTGACAAATGTCAATGACACGGAGGACTAACATGGACGAGTGATAAAAACAATACATTCTGCATATATTCATGTATATACAGTCTCCTAAATGTTAAATATACATAGAATCTCCACTCCTCCTCCCCTTCTGTTCTTCGATCTTCCATTATTCAGTGTTTTTATCTTTGGTTTCTCGACTTTTGTCTTTTCTCTTATTCATTTCTCTGTGAGGATGTTCCTTTATATTTTTCACATCCTCGATATTCTCTCTCTTGTTTTCCCTTGTATCTTTTTATTTCATTATTTTGCTGACCGAAAGGTTTAGTATTGATTTGTTTTACTGTATCTTCTTCCTTTCAAATATATATATATATTTTTTTTGTGGGAACCATGTATATTATTTCTGTTTTGATTTCTATAAACTTTATCTCTTTCATCTGCTAGATGGTGGTTGCTGTATACAATATTTATCTTCTTTTCGTTCTATATTTGTGCTTTCTGAATAATTTTTCCTTTCATTTTTCATTAATATGTTTTTTTTGTATTGTCTTTCCTTTCAAGATCTTTTTATTATGTTATTTTTCATTATTATTTACTTTTTTTTTAGCTTTATAGTTTCTATTTTGTTGAGTTTTATAGTTTCCCATTTTTTTTTATCCTATTTTGTTGAATGTGTTTTCTTATCTTCGTCCTTTATTTCACTTACCATCCATTATTGTCCCTTATGATTTGCCCTTTTCTCTCCCTTTATATTTATCTTTAGCTTGTGTGTGATATTAACCATCTTGTGTACACAGGGCTCTGGGCAGTACACCTTCTCCCACGAGGTAAAACAACCCGCCTTCGGCAACTTCTACGGCCACAGGTCGCGTCGCGTAGGAGACCGGGTAGACGGTCGCTACTACGTCCTCCTGCCCGACCGTCGCCTTATGACGGTCAGCTACTACGCCGACAGCACCGGATACCACCCGACGATCTCCTATAGCAGCCCGGGGACGTTCCAGGACTTCCAGCTGACTGGAATGTTGCGCGACGTTGGGCCCGAGACAAGAGAAGGAAGGGGAGCGAAGGTGTCAGAGGGGCCCACTTCCAGCCCTCCATTTCCCCTCTTAGAGAGTGCGACTTTCACCACCTCGTCTCCTCTCTTGGAAACATTCATTCACGGCCCTCAAGGACCTCCGAGGGCTGAGACATCAAGACCTGGATGGAATAATGCTATCTATACATATACAACTTCATCTACTGAAAGTCCGATAACTACGTATCCTAGGCAAACAACCACGTATCCTAGACCAACAACCATTTACCCTAGACGATCAACCACGTATTCTAAACCAACAACTACGCATCCTAGATCGACAATCACGTTTCCCGTACCAACAACAACATTTCCTAGACCCAGACCTACACGGTCTAGACACACTGGTGCACGTCCTATGTACAAATCTGATCATCCCGAAGTCACAACTGGATATCCTATGCGGACAACTGCGCCCTCTATACTTACAACTACACGCCCGGAACTCACACCTGTGCGTTCACTGCAGGTAACTGCGTATCCTTCATATACAACGGCGCGTTCAACACCCGCAACCACGCGTTCTAGTCACATAACTACGCCTCCTCTCAACAAGAACTATTTAGCTTCACCGAGAGAGTTATCGTGGCACTGGTCCACTCTAACTTCATCGCTTCCTCGGGCCTTCCACACTACTCCGAGAACTGGAGTTCCAATGGTTTTCCACGACAACGGCAGCAAAAGGACTGCTGTTAACGGAGAAAGCAGCGAGGGGCGAGGCAACGGGACAAGAGCCAGTAACGGAAAGTGGAGAGGAGTAGGAGGAGAAGGCAATGGTGGACAATGGAGCAACGTCGGCTCGTTGTATAGTTTAAGTAACAATGATATATTTGGCAGTAGACTTAGCGTCAGCGATATCAACGTTGGAAACGATGCCACTAATGACAACAGAATGAAAGATCAGAACAGCAACACTAGCTGGAGGAACAGTGGAAATAACAGTAGCAACAGACACAACACCCCCAGCAACAGAAACATCACCCCCAGCAACAGAAACATCACCCCCAGCAACAGAAACACCACCACCAGCAACAGAAACATTACCTCCAGCAACAGAAATAACACCCCCAGCAATAGAAGCCCCACTCCCAGCAACAGACGCACCACCCCCAGCAACATAAGCCCCACCCCCAGCAACAGACGCACCACCCCCAGCAACAGACGCACCACCCCCAGCAACAGACACAACACCCCCAGCAACAGAAACATCACCCCCAGCAACAGACACAACACCCCCAGCAACAGAAGCCCCACCCCCAGCAACAGAAACAACTCCCCCAGCAACAGAAATAATAACGGTCTAAGCAACAAAATGACTGGGAATAAATACGGAAGTTCGCGAGGAGGCACGACCAACGAGATAGGTAACAGTCCTGTTGTTATCAAATCTGTTGCCATCAATAACAGTAAAGGGAGCACCACAAACGGCAACATCAACAAAAATAACTTCATTGCAACCAACGTCAATAACGAATACAACGGTCAAGGCGGGAAAAAGGAAAGTTCAAGTTCGCCTGAAGCACCAGGAAAAGTGCTGCTTGAAGCCGGCTTTGGAAGAGAGCTTACAGAGGAGAATAATCTCTTTGACAATGACTTTTCATATTTTGAATTCAAGAAACTACCGATTACTTCAACTCCCGTCATTAGCAAGGACGATTTAGTAACAACAACTACAGCGACTTCTGCTTTAACAACCCGACCTCCAGGTGCTGTCTTCTCAACAATGACAAATTCAGTCGCAAGATTTTCTACAAACCAAGTAGATGTGAATAAAATTACACCCTCTAAATCTTCTATAATCGGATTCCCTACAACAGCTCTTTCGATTGGAAGACTCCGATCCGCAACACAGGAACCGGCCACCCGACTCGCAAGCAATAGTCCTCTTACCTGGAGCATATCTGGAGACGGTTTCGGGAGTTCTTCTGCTCCCCGAGCCCGGCCTGACGCCAGGCTCGAAGTTATTACAAGTTCCACAGCCTCGGAGACCTCAGTCCAGCAGCACTCTAGTCTTAAGACACAGCCCAAAAGATCAACCACCATTGCACCACTCTTCAATCAGGTATCCAGTAGCTCTACTGCCTCTTCATCAAAACAGGTCCTCGCCAGGAGGACAGCAACTGTTTTGAGCGGAGGTGCGCCGCGACAAAGTCCCAGCAGGAGAACGTCGGATAATCCTAATAGGGTCATAACCCAGAGACCAATTGTGACGACGGAAAACCACGAATACCTAAAAGATAGTCTTCTCACACCCATTTCAGTGCCGGGTCTTGTCACACGGGCTACAGAAGCCCTCGTGCATCGACGACGTTCAATAGACAAAACACAGAGATCTTACAAGCAGAAAACGACTACTTCCACACGACCTGTAGCTGTGTCTCCAACGCCGGCATCACAGCCAACCCCGACTACCCAAGACGACCAAACACAGAGATCTTACAGCCAGAGAACTACCACTTCATCACGACCAACCCATGCAGCCGCGTCTCCACGGTCGTCGCCACGACCAACCCTGACCATCCCAGAAGACACGACTCAAAGATCTTACAGACATACAATAACCACATCCCCACGACCTGCCGTTGCAGCCACGTCCCTAAAGGCGTCGTCAGAAGTATCCACGATCACAGAGATCTCTGCATTCTCCTCGTTTTTCGGGATGAGGATCTAATTTGATTACCTGACAGGAGACTGCAATGCTTAAGCTGTCCTTATCGTCTAGTCTTAGTAATGTAATTATATAGTTGGTTAGATCTGTAAACAATGTACTTAGTCTAGTATACACTTAATTATTATGCATGTAGACTTTTATATACTTATGTATGTACACAAGTGACTATCTCAAAGAGAAAATATATATAAATTTCTATAGCATGTTTAACTAAAATTGTTTATATACCTCATTCATAGTTAAGTTTGGTAGAGAAAAGCTAATGTTTGTGCATTAGATAAATAAAAATAATCTCTCAACGTCTGTTTGTATATTTATTCTTTCATCCTATCTATCTCATCCATTATATATATATATATATATATATATATATATATATATATATATATATATATATATATATATATATATATATATATATATATATATATATATATACTGTATAGCGAATGATGAAAATTATAAATTATTGTTGTCAATTTGGCTCCTTTTCAGACTTACGTCAGTTCCTTGAGGCAAGACAGTGCACACCTGGTACCTTTCAACACGCACTAGCACCTCATAGAACCCACCACCGCCACACGACATGTAAATTACTTCAGATCTAATGGCAGAGTTTCTCAATAATTTCTAACTCCAATATCAGCTCTGTAATCAATTTATAGATGGATTATCAATTATATAATAATTTCTAACTATAAAATTGAAAATTGGTAATCAGCCTTATCTCTCAGTTACATCGGTAACCGAGTTCGATCCCTGATCCCCCATTTGGTGGTTGGGTACCATTCGTTCATTATCCTAGTTCCTATTCTGTCCTACTGGCTCAGCGTTTTCTCTTGTTTGAATTGCTCTGCATTATATCCTAGGGATATAATCAGCCTCTAAAGTCGATCCGAATATACAGGCCAAGTTCCGTTCTTCCGGTTCTCTAGGGCCGTTGCGTAAGCTGCTGCTGCTCACTATTCGTAAAACGCCGTAAACGGTCAACTTTCTACCTGTTGGCGTCCGGCCATCTGTTGTACCTCACGCTCTTGCCGGAGAATGGTGGTAGACGGCCTGACGTAACGGCCGTTTACTGCTCTGTTTATTGGTTTCACTGATACGATGGCGGTGAAATTTAAATTATCGAATGTTTTTTTTTATTTACTCTGAAATAATGAACGCTCTCTCTTTGTGTTATATATTTACTTTGTAAAATATGTTGGGCTATTTACATTTCTACCGAAGTCTGTTGATGGGCTGTGCATGCTTTCTGCGCTGCAACAAATGTCTGCTGGTATGTTTTTCACACTGAAAAGGACGCTTACTGACGTTCTACTGCTTTCACTATATCAGACGTCTATACTGATATACTTACTGTTTACACGGCAACGGATGTGTGTTAATCTATTTACACTACAACGGACATGATGAAACGAGTGTATACCTTTATATCATACATGTGGCCCGGTGTTATATCATATATGTGGCACGGTGTTATGTCATACATGTGACATGGCCTGCACCACATGTTTTCCTTCGACCTGCAGTGCTCGGGGCAGCTGTTCAAGCACGAATCACTCTTGCAGTTCCCAATGACCCTTTATCTTACATATCTTTGGCGTTCTAACAATCAAACACCTCATCGACAACGAACAATCGTCATCAACCACAAGTCAACATATCTCCGGCCAGTTCCAATGCAAACATTTCTTTTATGTAGGCTTTCATCTCAATGACGTCACGTTCGCCGTTTAAAAGCATCACTTTCAATTTTTGCAATTCTGGAAAAGTTCCGTTCTATTTTCTCCACAGTAGCACTTTCAGATCTGAGGTGGTTTCCCCCTCTACATAAATTCTTGATGCATTTCAGAGGAAGACTGTTCGCCTGCGGAGCTCACCTGACCTCACATTCAAGCTGGAGCTATTGACTTCCAGCTGCGAAGCTGCGAGATTGCGACTGTCTGTCTGTGTCTCTCTATCTCTCTCTTCTTCCTGTGCTTCCCCATGCGGTCCTGTACTTCCCATACTGATATCTTTAGTCAATATCACAATACCTAGTTGTTACTGTCAGTGTACAAAAACCCAGTTTTTACTGTTAGTCTAGGCTTACAAATAGATGAAAAGGTATAATAAGGAGGATATAACTAAGGTAGTAAGATTATCAACTTAAAATAGTACACAAAACAAGACATAAATGGGATAAATATATATTAAAAAAATAGGAAAAGAATGGTTTTGAAAATAGGATTATGGATATGTGAAACAGGTTGCCGGATAACGTAATTTTTTTTTTTTTTTTTTGAGATATATACAAGAGTTGTTACATTCTTGTACAGCCACTAGTACGCGTAGCGTTTCGGGCAAGTCCTTAATCCTATGGTCCCTGGAATGCGATCCCCTGCCGCGAAGAATCGTTTTTTCATCCAAGTACACATTTTACTGTTGCGTTAAACAGAGGCTACAGTTAAGGAATTGCGCCCAGTAAATCCTCCCCGGCCAGGATACGAACCCATGACATAGCGCTCGCGGAACGCCAGGCGAGTGTCGACAGGCGAGAGAGTTGATTATTCTTTTTAAATTTTGTCTGGAAGGGTGAGCTTATGTTGAACGTCACTCATCCTGTGAGTGAATATATGGGTATAGCAGCATGTACATCGCCTCTCAATAGAAAGAAAATTAGCTAGGTGTTCATCGAGTTACTTGTTTTCAGACGCAGCTGGGACTTACTTAATTCCGGGTTCGACTCCCGTGCGGGATAGATGTGGTTGGGGGCGCTTCCTGTCCCCTAATTGCCTTGTTCACCTAGCCGGAAATAGGTACCCAGGAATTGTTTTGGGGTTGCATCGTGGTGGATGGGGGGCTTGCAATTTGACCTTGTGGGGGGGAGCCCCTAGAAATAAGCCTAACATGAACTGACCTGAATTTACCTAAGGGCCTCTAATACTCTAATAGCCTCGACGAGGATAGGAAGCAGATGGTTTATTAAAGGGCTCCCCCTATATTTATCCTAATGATTTTTTCAAGCTGGATTAAAAAAATAAACAATGTTTTGAAGTTTACGGCTTTGGCGAGTAGGCGATTCCATGGGGTTTTAACCCTATGGGTAAAATGAACATCTATTTTCTGTCCTACATTGAGGCTTGTTGAGCTTGAAATCGTTGCTCCTCCTTTGTGTTACATATGACCTTTTGAAGAAGTTGTCAGGATCAATATCCTCCAAACTGTTCAGTATTTTAGAAGTTTCGATGATATCAGCCCTGTCATGTCTTGTTTGCAGTGTTGGTAGTCCTGTGGGCCCTCAACCGTTCCTGGTATGAGTCGACTTAGTTCATAAATTATTTTTGTTGTCCGACGTTGAACTTTCTCCAAAACGGCTATATGTCTTTCTGAAGAGGAGCTCCATGCTTGGATACAATAATCCAAGTGGTTATAATCCAATAATCCACTCTGGTTGCCTGTTTCCCG